CTCGTCCCCTCCGGACGGACGGTCCGTTACGTATTCGACACTCACTCGCCGCGGACGTACTCGCGCGCTTCGTTCTCGCCGTCCCGCCCCCCCCCCCCCCCCCCCACCCCCCTGCGCCGATTTACCTCCTCATCGACAGTACGTGGCCGGCTTCTTCAAGAGCCCCGACGGCAAAAAGTCGACGCCGCGCATCACCAACATCTACGTCAGCACGCGAGCCAGCGTCTGGAACGGAAGGAGGAACTGGAGTGAGTCGGCGATGGTGCCTCGGCCCACGAGCTCGCGGGGGTCGGACGGGATCGAATCGAGCCTGACCACATGCCCCTCGCCTCTCGACAATCTGCTGTGCCGGAACACCCCCTTCGCCACCTCTGCCCGCTCGTCGTCTTCGCTCTACTGGCCGCCCGTATCGCACGATCTCGTCGCCCGTCTTGGCACCTTCTCGACGCTGTCTCATCTCGCGGGATCTGATCAACGACCTGCAGACATCCCCAAGTGAGTGCACCGCCGTGCTCGACAAACGCTGCACGCGCTTCCGACGGCTGAGTGGTGCCGATCTTGCTCTTCTCCCCCGCCTCCCGGCCTACTCGGCTTCGCACGCGCGCAGGCACGTAGCAGAGTTCAGCTGGAGCCACCCGGTGCATTCGGACGAGGCTGGCGTGCAGACCGTCTCTGTGCGACACCCTGCCGGCTCCCCGCTGCGAAAGGCGGGCGGCAGCGGCAGCGGCGACGACGACGACGACGCGCCCTTCTTTTCGGCGTCGTTGCAGCCTTCGCGCCTCCCCTCGGTGCCGGTCAATACCAACCTGGCCATCTTCCCCGCTCTGCCGCTGCTGCAGCCGCCGCTGTCGGATTGCAGCGGCCCCTACGGCGGCGATGGCGACGACGCCGACCGGAGGAAGCTCGTCGAGGCAGCGGTGGCGTCGCCGTCCGAGGGCGTCTGGAGGAGCACGGCGCCGACGTTCCGAGGCGGAGCGTCGATGGCGTATGCCAAGCCGCTGCTCAGCGGAGGCCGGTACGGCGACGAGCGCGGCTTCCCTGCTGCCACTCGGACCTGGTCGACCGGCATCAGGTTCCGAAAGGTTATCGTGTCGTTTCCGGAGCCGGTAGAGGCGAGATTCTGAGGTCTGGGCCCCGGAGATCACTGCAGGCGGCGACCGTTTGCGTCGACGTGTTGCGACCACTTCGCCATCGCCGGTGACGAATCTCATCTCAACGAGTAGTGACAGAAGCAGCCTTGCGAGGGCCATGGTATCTACATGGTGGGTGCCGGTCAAGTCGCACTGATGCAGACCTGCGATGAGCGAGTGGGGCGAGATATATGGGCGATTCTGCCTCGTGCGGCGTCGGGCATGCGGACGGTCCTGTCGGAAGGCGGCAGGCCATCGACGCTGATGCCGGGCTACGCAGAGCGTTGCGACGGGGCTCCCCCGCATCTAGGCCCTGGTGTTTGGGACGACGTGATTGGCTGGCCAGGAAGCGTCCCAGTCGACTCCGCTCGCCGCCGACTCGACGTGCGGTATCTTATCTAACTCCGCTCTAGGCGGAGAGGCGCGCGCGGGAAAGGGCAAGGTGGTTTGACACAAAGTCGATGTCCATCTGCGCGTGCACGTAAGGCGAGGCGGGACGATGGTTTGTCCGATGTGAGTTGCTCTCGGTCGGATGAGGACCTTCCGACGCCACGCGCCGCCCCCGCCTGGAGCTAGCCGACTCTTGTCTGCCTGCGTCTGCCTCGGCTTGTATCTGACTGTGCCTCTGACTCGCACTCAACTCTGTCCTAGTTATCGCTCTCCAACCACGGCCGACGATGGGACGACCGCCGGTCAACCAACCCCGCCCGCGGCCCCTGCTCGTGCATGGTGCAAACTCAGGGCGGTGGCAGCGTGGCGGCCTCGGATGTGGGTGCGTCGTGGGTGGGGGTGTGCCTTGTCGTCTGAGGCTGACCCGGCGGCCGTCGGTCGATGCCGTGGGTGTGCGTTGATGGTGGTGCCTGTAGACCCTCGCTCGACCACGCAGGCGACGAGGCGGGGGGCCTCTGAGGCCCGTCTTGTGGCCCATCTCGTGCCCACTCTCCTCGGTCCTTGCCGGCGACTGTGGTCACATCCGATGCCGGTATAAAGACCAGACACCCTTCTTCTGCCGGCGTCGGTTCTCCCCCACTAGCAGCCCCTCTCACCTCTTTCCTCCCTTCCGCTCCTTTTGCTGATCGCGACCAACTTCCCGGACGTTTCTCGGGTCCCCCATTTCGCGCGAGCCGCCGTCTCTCGTTTTCCTCGTTTCTTTCCCCCCGACCCTCGCCACCTTATCATCCCCCTCGACCCGGCCGCCTGACCGACCGACCGACCGACCGCCCGCCATGCTGCACCACAGCCGCCGGCGCATCGACCTGGGCGCGGTGCTCTCGGCCCTGGGCCTGGTGGCCTCGCTGCCGCTGGCCGCCTACGCCGCCTCGATCGGCACGGGCCAGGGACCCCAGATCCAGCTGACCGTCGGGCAGGGCCTGCTCGACCGCAGCACCGACGGACGCCTCGTCGTCCTCTTCTCGCCCGCCGGTAGCGACCCGCTCGACGACACCGACGTCACGGGCCCCAACGCCTTTTACGGCAAGAACGCCTTCAACCTCACCAGCGGCGCCACCGTCTCTCTCTCGGGCGGCGCCTCGGCCCCCGAGACGGTCGACGTCGACGTGTTTGGCCACCCGCACGCCAGCCTGGCCGACCTGCCCGCGGGCGACTACCGCGTCCAGGCCTTCTTCACCGGCTACGAGACCATCACCCGCAGCGACGGCTCCACGGTCCAGCTCAACATCCCCTGCGGCGACGGCGCGCCCAACGTCGACGGCGTCGGCAGCCTCTCGACGCCCGTCCAGGACGTCAAGATCACGGGCCGCGCCCAGCGCATCCAGCTCACCTTCAACGCCACCGCACCCAAGCCCGAAGACCTCAACGGCAGCGAGATCGGAGGGTGCCAGCAGGGCAACTACAAGGACACTGACTCGATCAAGTACGTCAAGATCCGCAGCGAGGCCCTCAGCCGCTTCTGGAACCGCGACGTCTTTGTCGGCGCCACCGTCGTGCTGCCGGCGGGCTACGACGCCAGCGACAAGAAGACGCGCTACCCGGTCATCTACGCCCAGGACCACTGGAACGGCCACCGCGGCGCCTGGGGCTTCCCGGACAACTCGTTTGCCGACGCCTGGCAAAAGGGCGTCATCCCGGGCAAGGACGGCGCAGCGGACCGGCCGACGCCCAAGTTTATCCTCGTCACGTTCCGCCACGAGACGGCGCTGTACGACGACTCGTACGCCGTCAACACGGCCAACCTGGGCCCGTGGGGCGACGCCATCAACGACGAGCTCGTGCCGCGCCTCGACTCGATGTTCAACACCGTCGCCCAGCCCTACGCGCGCATCCAGGACGGCGGCTCGACGGGCGGCTGGGAGTCGCTGGCCAACACCGTCTTCCGGCCGGACCTGTACGGCGCGTGCTTCTCCTACTACCCGGACTCGCTCGACTTCCACCGCCACCAGGCCATCCCGCTCTACGACGGCGGCAACGCCTACCGCCGCGCCAACGGCAGCGCCATCCCCTCGATTCGCGACTTCACCGCCGACGGCAAGGAGCAGATCCTGGCCACCGTCGAGCAGGAGAACCACTGGGAGCTCACGTTTGGCACCTCGACGCGCTCGCGCCTTCAGTGGGACATCTGGAACGCCGTGTTTGGCGTGCAGGGCGTCAACGGCTACCCGCTCGAGCCGTGGAACAAGGTGACGGGCGAAATCTATCCCGAGGCCGTCGAGTACTGGAAGACGATGGACATGGCCGCCTACCTCGCCGCCAACTGGAACGGCACGCGCAACCTGGGCGAGGCGCTGCGCGGCCGCATCCACGTCTCGGTGGGTACATGGGACGACTACTTCCTCAATGAGGGCGTCTTGCAGTTCCAGCAGCGCATCGAGCAGCTCGGCGGCAAGGACTGGGCCGAGGTCACCATCATCCCCAAGGCCAACCACGGCGGCTTCTACAAGCGCCTCGACGTCTGGACCTACCTCGAGCTCGTCCAGGACTGGGTGCGCAAGCACGCGCCCGACGGTCCGACGCCCCTCGGCGCCAACCTCACCTCGCCAAAGACGCGGGGCAACCAGTTTGACGAGGTCATCGAGCGCGGCGGACACGCCGCCGCCCTCGCCCGCCAGGCCGACCCCAAGATCCTCGGCCGCGGCAGCGACGGCAGCAGCAGCAGCAAGAAGCGCGGGCCCATCTCGGCCAGCGTCGGAAGGTGGGACCCGGGCGTCAAGCTCGTGGCGCAGTGGAGCGTCAACGGGCGCACCATGGGCAAGCCCTTTGGCGTCACCTCGGGCCAGGAGGTCGTGTACAAGCCGCAGAACAGCGCCGGCGGCAAGAACCAGCTCGTCCTCAGCGTCACGGGCACCAAGGCGGGCTACAAGCGCGAGACGAGGTCGTCGCCCGCCTTTGCCATCTAGGCTAGGCGATGCCCAGCGCCGCGCTCCTCGTCTTGGACTTTTCTTTCTCTGGGGGATACCGTCGTGAAGCCCGTACGTGGCGTCGATGCATGGGGCGTCGCGATGGATGCTTCTCCCCGCTTGCTTTTCACTTTTGCCCCTCGTCCTCTTTGCCCTCTCGCTCGCAGACGATGCCGTAGCGATGTATTGCCGGTCGCCACTTTCTCCCCGCTCGCCCTGCCCTCTCTCTCTCTCTCTCTTTGCCTTCTGCTCGGCTGAGGAGGATCACGGTAGACCACCCCCACTCGTTGCACCCCTATCCGACTCGGGCCCGCTGCGGCACAGTCGCTGCTACGGTACTTTGCCCGAACCACGCTCCTTACATTGTTCCTTTCCTCTGCCGTGCGACCTCGACTCGAGGCAAACCAGCGGGCCTGCCGTGACGGGATGGGATGACGTCGATCCGGTGCTGCACCACGCGCATCTCCACGCCGATGAGGGCCTCGCCACGAGGTTCGAGGACGGACGCGACCTTTGGCCAGCCGGCGACCTCTGGACATGGCGAGTACTGCCGTAACGACGAGCCGCCGGGCGGGTGGACCGGCAGGAGGACGAAGGGAGAGCCGGCGTCTGCAGAGGTGCGGCCATGCGGCGGCGGCAGGCAGAACAACCGCCGGCCGCCCCGCCGGCAATCTACCCCACAATCGATGCGGGGTCGGGTCGGGTCGCCGGGCCGCTCGCAAGCCACCACCGAAGCCGCAGCAACGCTGGTTGAGCAGCTGGACGGCGATGCCCCAACTGACTGAACCCGCCAACCTGCCCCCGCCCCCGTTCAACGGCACGGGCACGGGCACGGGGGCCAAGCTGGTCGATGCGACGATCCGGCAGACGCTCAAGCTGAGCGCGGGCGGGAGGCGGGTGCGTCTGCGGCTGAGCAACGCGTTCGGGGGGAGCGACCTGTCCGTCTCGTCGGTCGTCGTCGCGCGGCCCCTGGTACCGGGCAGGGACAACGGTACGGTAACCGTGGGCGTATCCGCCATCGACGGCGCGACGGCGCGGCAGCTGCGGTTCAGCGGCGAGACGGCCTTCGTCATCCCCAAGGGCGCTCTGGCCGTTTCCGACGAGGTCGACATCGACGTGCAGCGCGATGGGACGCTGTCCGTCTCCATCTACCTCGCGGCGGGTCAGGAGGGCGAGGCCATCACCTCGCACCCGGGCTCCAGGACGACGACCTACATCGCACCCGGCGACCAGACCGCCTCGGCCACCCTCACCCCGGACGCCGTGGCCGTGGCGCACTGGTATTTCCTATCGGGCGTCGAGGTCCTCGTCCCCCCACATGGGAACGACGCACGCGACGGCGCCATCGCCATTCTGGGCGACAGCCTGACCGACGGCAGGGGCAGCACGGACAACGCCAACGACCGATGGCCCGACCTCTTCTACCGCCGCCTGGGCCGCGGCGCCTACCTCAACCAAGCGGCCGGCGGCAACCGCATCCTCGCCGACGGGCTGGGTCCCAACCTCCTCTCGCGCCTCGACCGCGACGTCCTGGCACAGACGGGCGTATCGCGTGCCGTCGTCTTTGAGGGCGTCAACGATATCGGCACCGCCGACGCCACCGAGGCCGCCCAGGACGACGTGACGCGCCGCCTCACGGCTGCGTACCGCCAGATTGTGACGCGCCTCGGCGCCCACGGCCTGCCCGTCTACGGCGCCACCATCACGCCGTTCGGCAACAATCCCGCCTACGCCCACCCGCTCCGCGAGCGGAGCCGGAGGCGCATCAACCACTGGATCCGCCACGAGGCGCCGTTTGATGCCGTCCTCGACTTTGATGCCGCCACGCGCGACCCACACAACGCCTCCCTCATCCGCCCCGACCTCGACTCGGGCGACGGCCTGCACTTTAACCCAGAGGGCTACCAGGTCATTGCCGACTCCATCGACCTTGGATTGTTCGTGTAGACAGACAGGTCGAGCAAGGGCCCCGATGCTGCAGCGCTGCGCCGAGCCGAGGTCGCAATGGCCAGCCCACATCGTGCATCTGGTGCACTTGCCGCCGTGAATGCATCAAAGGCTGAGGAGCACCCATGCAGCGCGGTCGTGCGATCGACCTCGACGTCAGAGCTGCCTCTAGCACACCTCGAGCTGGTAGGCGCAGGATCGCTCGGCGAGACGGAGCGCGAGCTCGCCCGCCAAGCTTGTGGCTCGGTTGGGGACACACGCAAGTTGCGATGGGATCGGCGACCGACTGCCGCTGCGTCGATGCAATCGATGAGTGGGGTATGATTTCCGTGCGATGGTGACGCCGCGACACCAGGCTCGCCGGTCGAGGCAGCCCGCGCCACCACCCTCTCTACCAGCAGACGGACAGCTGTTCGTTGCGCTGCGCTGCCACTTGCTGCGCGCTTCGCGCTACTCGCCACGCAGGCTGAGGACGACGCGGGCCTTTGGGATGCGACACTCGACAATCGAGCTGCCGTCGCGTCGCAAGTTGATGCTGCCGCCCTGCAGCGCGGCATCCTGATCCGCCGAGGGCCCCGCGGCACCCCGTCCGGCAATCCAGCCCTTTTCGCTGGCGGCGATAAAGAGGTTGGGCAGCGCAAAGACTTGGTGGTTGCCCTTTTTGGCCTCGTCGCCGGCAGCCTTGGCGGCAGGAGCGGCAGCGGTGGCGGCATTGGCGCTGTCGCCGTACGGGGGCGAGGTGAGGAAGAGGTAGCGAGGGCTGGTCCACACGCTCGCGTCCGGGCCTGGGATCTCGATGGCCTCGACCTTGCCCTCGTCGCCGCTGTTCGATGCCCCGACGGGCGCCGGCGGGTGGTGGAAGAACTGGGCAAAGATCTTCATGCTCCCCTGCTCGCCGCGCGGGCCGGGCCCGAGGTCGACTTCAGTCTCGACCGACAGGGTGCCCCTCGACGGGTGGCCCGACAGGATGGGCGAGACCATGAGCGGCGTCGACGCCGTCTCGGTGGCGAAGAAGCCGATGTAGAAGGCCTCTTCCTTTTTCACCGTCGAGGCGATGTCGCGCGTCTCGTTTGCGCTCAGCGGCGTCGATGTCGACGATGCCGACGAGCCGGCAGAGGGGGCGGAGCGGGCCTGAATGTCGCGCAGAAACTGCTGGGCGGCGTTCTGCGAAGAGAGCTCGGTGATGATGTTGCCGGATGCACTGCGAGTGGTGGCGTTTCGGTGAAGGAAGGAGGTCCAGAGTCAGGGGTCAGCGGGGGCCATCTCACAGAGACAAGGCTCTATCCTGCCAGGCTGCACTCACGAGGTCACCTCGCGCCTCGGACCAAAGGGCTCGAGCCCCTCGTAGCGCACCTCGACGCTGGGCCTGGCGATTTCCTTGCTGGCCTTTTGGCCCTGTGCATCGACATTGGCGACGAGGGCGACGCCGACGGCGCCGTCCTTGTGGATCTTGTCGCCCCGCTGCGCATCCGTGCCGCCGCGGCCGCCGGCAGAGGTCTCGGGCAGCGTCATGAGGAGGGTGTGGTCCCTGCCCGTCTCAAAGGGGGTGGGCGGCGCGTGGAGGCCGAGGACGCTGGAGCGCGGGAAGCGCGAAGTGAAGCCCTCGATGAGGCCCTGGGGCGAAGGGTCGGTGAAGAAGAGGAGCGAGAGGACCGAGTTTGGGTCGAGTGCGTCGAGCTCGGGCGGGACCGCGCCATCGACGTTTTCGCGCCCCCAGATGTCGCGCCAGTCTGTGTGCTGGGCGGGTTCATCGGCGGCGCTTGTGTCTGTAGAGCGATGTGCGCGGTCGAGGAGGTCTGCGCGCCTCTCTGTGCCCTGCTGCCACGCCGGCTTGCGGTCCGGCCATCGCCCGACGGCAATCTCGGCGCGGCCGGGGATCTGGCTGCGAAAGGGGACGGCGTTGACGCCGGGCAAGAGGCTGAGAGATACCGAGTGGAGGGTGGGGGACGAGATGGGAGCTGCTCCTGGTTCCAGGGCGTTGGATGGGATGAGGGAGCTGGGGAGGGGAGCCGAGAGGAGGCCGATGCGTGCGATGCGGGGGGACGGTTGCTGCTGGGGCTGCCCTTGCTGCCCCTGCTGCTGCAGCCCTTGCTGTCCCTGCTGCTGCTGCTGCTGCTGCTCGGTGTTGGATGGGTCAACGCCGCGGAGGAGGGAGACTGCCTCGGAGAGATACTGCTGCGGGAGGTCCTTGCTGAGAGAGTAGAGGAGGACGTGGTCGTGGTCGGGCGGGGCGGCGGCGGATGCCGAGTTGGAAGCGAGTGGGCCGAGGCGTGCGGCGAGGTTGGTCATGCCCTGCAGGGTGGATCGGAGGGCGATGAGGAGGCCGCGCGGCGAGGGAGAGAATAGGGTGAGTGTCTGTGCGGTTGCGAGGACGGGTTTTGGCTTCCATTGCGGTTGTTGCTGTTGCGAGGGTGGTGAGCCGGGGGGAGGGGTGCCGGGTGGTGGTGCGCTTGCGGGCTGGGCATAGGATCTGCGGGTGGCCAGAGGAGGGGGGGCTTTGAGGCGTGTTGAGATGCGGGGTGCCGATGCTGACCTCCGCAGCAGAAGGTGCGTTGCGGCGGACATGTTGAGTGGCGCGAATGGCGGTGGTGGTGGTGGTGGTGGTGCAGGAAGCCGAGGGCGGTGGTGGTGGGTGCCAAAGCCGAGTCGCGAGAGGGAAAAGGGCCGAGCGGGTTGCGTGCGCCTTTACCCAAGCTGCGAGTGGAGGCTGGCGGGCTTCTCATCGGGGAGGGGAGTAAAAGGAGACGATCGGGGTGGACGACGGCGATCTGGACGGGTGGAGTGTGGAGCGGCAATCGGGCCAGGACTTCCAGGTCTTTCTTCTCAGAGAGCGGCCGTCCGTGCGGGCGGGGCTGCCTGTGGGCTGCCAAGTTGTCCTTTGTCCAGCTGCCCTCTCCCTTTCTTCGCTCAATCCCTCACCCTCCCCCGACCACCACCGACACCCACCCACGCCTCTCTTTTTCCTCCACGTCGCCACCACCACCCACCCACAGCACCACTACCACTACCACTACCACTACCACCACCACCACCACCGCCAATATGGTCATCTGCACCCGCCGCGGCTGCGGCGTCGACTACGACCCGGCCTCGGACGCCGCCACGACGAGCGACGCCTGCCTCCACCATCCGGGCGCACCCGTCTTCCACGAGGGCATGAAGTCCTGGTCCTGCTGCAACACGACAAGCAAGCCGGTGCTCGAGTTTGACCAGTTCCTCGCCATACCCGGCTGCGCCACCGCACAGGGCCACACCGCCGAAAAGCAGTCGGTCCCCACCGTCAAGAGCGGAAAGGTTGTCGATCCACAGGCACTAGAGGAGCAGCAGCAGCAGCAGCAGCAGCAGGCCGCTTCTTCTTCGGCCAATCAGCAGGCCGTCACGCAGCCCCTCTCTGGCAACACGCTCGCTGCCGCCACCAACGCAAAACACGCGGCCGCGGCAAAGGCGGGCAGCAGCAACGCCAATGACGCCGCGACCGCCTGGAGGGAAGTCGAGGACCCGCAGGACAAGACCGACGTACAGATCCCCGCCGGCGCAAAGTGCAAGCGCTCTGGCTGCGCATTCGAGCATCCCGGCGGGGCGAGGCAGAGGCAGACCGAGGAGTGCAGGTACCACAGGGGGTCCCCCATCTTCCACGAGGGCAGCAAGGTGAGCCTGCCAGCCGGCGTCTGCGCGTCGTTTCGGTGTCGTGTGCTATACCACATGCTCACCTCACCTCCCCACCCGTTCCAACTCGTCTCTCTCTCTCTCTCCCTCTCCTTCCCTTCGATCTGATGCCATCTACTCTCTTGGACGACAGGGCTGGTCCTGCTGCAAGCGGCGCGTTCTCGACTTCAACGACTTTCTCGCCATCGAACCATGCACGACGTCGACATCGGGACACCTCCTCTTTGGCGCCTCGGCACCGGCAACCTCGGCCAACGGCTCGGGGGCGGCGGCGGCGGCGGGGACGAGCGGCGAGGAAGCCGTCGACTGCCGGATGGACCACTACGAGACGCCCAACGACGTCCGGCTGACGGTCTACGCCAAAAACGTGCAGTCGGAGCGCTCGCGCATCGCCTTCCGCGCCGATGCCGTCGAATTCGACCTCGTCCTGCCCGCCCTGCCCACCTCGGCCAGCGGCAACGCGCGCAGGTTCACAAAGACCCTCGCCCCCTTTTCCGACATTGACCCGGCCGCTTCGAGCTTTGTCGTGTCCAAGTTCAAGGTCGACCTCGTCCTCGTCAAGGCCCAAAAGGGCCAGAGCTGGCCCGCCCTCGAGCGCGGCGATAAAGTCGTCGGGTACGGATTGACGTTTGGTAGGGACAAGGACAAGTAGCGCGCGGCCGTTGTGTCGCCAGGAGGAGATTGCAGCGGGGCATGCGATAGATTCGGTGGAGAGGGACGAGGGGGGTGATGATGCTCGATGAGCGCGAGAGCGGTGGCGGCGGGTGCTCGCGCGGGGGGACGATAAGAAGGCTAGAGGCCAGGGCTAGAGGAGGAACGACATCTTGACGGGTCGACGAACGGCATTGGAAAAGCCCTCGTGGTAGCGGTAAAACACCTTGATGCCCGTTGACGACGATGCGTCCAGCCTGAGCTTCTTGTTCGACGACGACGCGTCCCCGTCCTCGTCCTCGTCCTCGTCGGCGGCTTGCCTGGTCCTCCTTGCCGTCATCGTCGTCGTCGTCGCTGCGCCTCTTCGCATACCTTCTGGGATCTCGACTGCTGCAGCGGGAGGAGCGACGACGGAGGGCTTGGGGAGTATGACACGACCGAAAAAGTCTTTGGCCACTTTGCCACCGCTCGCCAGACCGGCGGCGGCCGTGCCTGTCGTCTGGATCGATGCTGCCCCTCCTCCGCCACTGGCGCCGCGGCGGTAGACGGACATGGCTTTTCCCGCCGTAGTCTGTCCGGCCGCCGTCGTCGATGTCGACTCGTCGGGGCATCCACCAGCCGCGAGATGCTTGAGCCTCGTCCGTTGCTTTTGCATTTCGCGCGCGACAATGGCGCGGAGTGCCAACCTCGTCTTGCCCCTCGCCACCGAGGACGAGGACGAGTCGGATCGACCTTGAAAGAGGTTAAAGACTTCGAGGGGCGGATCGAGTTTCCACACGAGCGAGGTGGGATCCGCCTCGCTGCGGTCCTGCACCAGCTCCAGGCCCAGGGACAGCATGATGTCGACGAGCCGCGACAGCGTAGCGCGGTCCGACGTCGAGGTGATGGCGTTGTTGATGGGCCGTAGCTCCGGATTGAGGATGGGCAGCAGCGTCGGCCCCAGCTCGAGGTGCAGCGCGGTGCGGTTAAACTGGCACCGCAGCGAGGGCGGCAACGAGGCGTGCAGCGTCGACGAAATCTCGCGAAACGCAGTGGCGCGCAGGTGCATCTCGTAGTCGACGCGCGGGTACTCGGGCAGCGGGTTGACCGAATTGGCAAACAGCAGGTGCCACGGCACAAAGCTCCACGGCAGGTAGGCCAGCAGCTCAAAACTGCCCCCGCCGCTGCTCCACGCCTTGGCGCTCACGGCCTGACCAAAGTCGAGCCACTCGTGCGCGCGCCGAAAGCGCCGCCAGCCGTCGTCCGAGGCGCGCAGCAGCGGGTAGTGCTCAAAGCAGCCCTGCGCCAGCTTGTCGTACTCGTTGCACGACCCAATCTCGTGGATGAGCCGGTTGACGTTTTCCTGCGGCGTGTCGACCATGACGACGTCGTTGCCGGCCACCTTGCCCTTGGCTCCGGCACCCGTGCCGGCGCCGGCGGTGGGCGCGCTGGCGCTCCGACCGCCCTGCTGGTTCCAAGGCGCGATCGACGACGACGACGACGCCGCCGCCTGCTGGCCGCGCGTGCTCGACTTGATCTTTTCCTTGCGGTTCTGCGTGCGGAAGAGCATCTCCCACACGCGGTGCACCGTGGTGCCCGTGTCCTTGATGCCGACGGCCGCGTTGCGCACCGCCGCCTCGGTCAGGTAGACGTCCTTGGTCTTGGCAAACTCGAGCGCGTTGATGCACGCCCGGATGTCGCCGCCCGTCAGCTCGCACAGCAGCGACAGCCCGCGCGTGTCGGCCTCGACGCCCTCGGCGTCGCAGATGTCGCGCAGCCGCCGCACCACGATGTTGGTCGGCGCCTTGTTGAACCGCACCAGCTTGGCCAGTGGCCGCAGCGGCCGCAGCGCCGGCGCGTAGACGTCGTTGCACACGCAGATGATGGGGCGCAGCAGCGGCTTGTGGCCCTGCTTGCCGTTCTTGTGGCCGCGCCGGCTGCTGCCGCCCGCAGCACCGCCCTTGGCCGAAGAGGAGCCGCGGCCATTCTCGATGAGCTTGACCAGCGCACGCACAAAACCCGCGCTCTCGCCGGACCCGGAAGCTCCGCCTCCGCCCGCCCCTCCAGCGCCACCACCACCGCCTCCGCCGCCTCCCGTGGCGCCGTCGATCTCGTCGATGACGACGAGCGTCGGCCGCGGGTCCTTGAGGCTGCCGCTCTCGAGCGCCATGCGGATCTGGTCCTCGACCGCGCCCGCCGTCCGTGCGTCGCTGGCGTTGAGCTCAAAGACGTTGTAGCCGGCGTGCTGGGCGATGACGTGCGCCAGCGTCGTCTTGCCCAGGCCCGGCGGTCCAGACACCATCAGCACGCGCTCGCTGGGCCGGCCGTACGGGTCCTTCCAGGCCGGCTTGCCGTCTGCCGCCCCCACGCCGCCCACGCCGCCCAGACTCGGACCCGAGGTCGACGCCGCCCCCACGCCGGACGACGAGCTCCTGTCGCCGCCGTTGCCGTACTTTGACTCGATGTACTGCCGGTGGCGCTCCTTGCGCAGGTTCTTGCGCTTGAAGACGCACTCGTCCCACTCCTTGAGCCAGCCGAGGACGTCGCGGTGGACGCGCTCGTCGCCGAGCAGCTCGGTAAACTTCTTGGGGCGGTACCGGTCGACCCACATCTGGCTCGTCCGATCCAGCTTGCCGGAGCGGGTCCGCGCAGTAGCGCCGGCCGCGGCAGCACCAGCACCACTCGCGTCGGCGGTGCTCCTGCCGACCTTGGAAGCCGAGGCGGCGGCCTCTGCGGCCTCGTGCCGTTCGACAATCTCGAGGGCCTTTAGCGCCTCGACGCGGTCGCGGAGGCGGTAGATGGGTTCGGCGAGGAGGTCCTGGACGCGGGTGCCCGAGTAGACGGGCGAGGGCTTCCAGGCCTTGAGGCGTTTGCGACGCTCGAAGCGGATCTCTTTGCCGTCAAACGAGGTGGCGTAGGCGAAGCCGGCGGGGATGTACTTGGGGATGGCGGCGCCGTCGGTTGCTGGCCGCCGAGAGGAGGAGGCTGTGCCGGTAGCAGCGTCGAGGTTGGCGCTGCTGCTGCTGCTGGGGCCTGCCTGTGCGCAGGATGGCAAGTCGACTAAGCGGGCCTCGGTCTCCATCTCGGCCTGGATCCGCTCGAGGGCGGAGAGGGTGGACGGCGAGGCGGTGGAGGCATCCTGTACGCTGGCACCGGACAAAGCGGTCGGACGCTGAGAGGTCGTCTGCGGTCGTGCCGATGCACCGCCATCCGATCGAGACGGGGACGCCGTCATACCAAGGAGGTCTTCGAGGTGCGAGGCCGCGCCGGTATCGGCAGATTTCGGCGGAGCGGGGCGGGGGGGTCGACGGTGCTCGTGCTCGTCTTGGTCCTGTACCCGGATCAGATCGAGCAACTCCTGTTCCGCATCGTCATCGGCCTGGCGGCGCAACCGATCGTCCTCTTCGTCTCTGAGCATCTCGTCGATGTCGAAATCCGGCGGCGGTGCATCGTCCTCATCGGTGGGAGCGAGTGCGAATGCCCGGGGCCGCGTGGCGAGTGAGTTGAGCGCCTTTTGCGCCGCCGATGCCGATGCCGCCTGCGACTGCGCCGCGTGAAGGGGTAGGTTGGAGTCGATCTGGCGCAGTAGCGTCGATGTGGTCTCCCCTCCGTCGCCGCTGCCGTGCAAAGACGAGGTGGTGGTGGTGGTGGGCCCGTCGAGGATGCCGTTACTCTCTAGCTGGATTGCCATGGTGGGCGCGAGAGGGGGCTGTCCACAGCCGTGTAGGGGATGTCTGTGGCGATGTTCTAGGATCAGTGAAGCAGTGGAGAGAGAACGGTGAGTGAGTGTGTGAGTGAGTGAGCGAGTGAGTGAGTACAAGGGTCGGTGGCGGTGGTGGCGGTGGTGGCGGTGGTGGCGGTGGTGGCGGTGGCAGCAGGCAACGAGAATCCAGCGTGGCCCCCACTAACCCCCAGGGGAGCCTGTCCAGCCAGGCTGGATTTTTGGAGGGCAAGCGGGCCCTCGACCTGCTGGCCTGCAACGCGACCCTATGCAGACAGGCTTCGCGTCGCGTTGAGGACCCCAACACCGTGTGCCTCGGTCCTCCACAATCTCAGCCTGGCCCCGCTGGTGCACGCGCTCGCCACGCAGCCTAGCTGGGACATCTTCTCTTGGCTCCTTTGGCACGCTCCAATCACGACGCCACAAGGCAAGATGAGACAGGGCCAGAGCAGCGTTGCCTCCATCCCACAACCCTCGCACCAGCCAGCCAGCCAGCCAGCCAGACATTCGCATTCCATCGCAATGCCATGCCATGCCATCGTCGACTGCTATTGGCCCCGGCCAGACACCACCCGAACCTCGCCGCCGTCACCGCCGCTTGACAAAACGCGGGTCGGCGGCGATCCTGCGCCGCTTGCGCTCCGTCTCGAGGCGCGCCTGCGCGTTGATCTCGTCCTGCTGCTGCGTGTCTGGGAAGTTGATGTTCCAGTAGCCCGGCGGCGTCGTATCCGGAAGCCCCCACGCCCGGTGCCGGCTCGTCGCCTGCCGCCGCGCCTGGATCTCGGCTTCCCGCCTCGCTGCCGCCGCATCCGCATCCGCATCCTTCTCCTCCGCCTCTTCCTCCTCTCCCTCTCCGTCTCCCTCTGCCTCGCCGCCGCCCTCACCACCCCCGCCCTCTTTGGTCCCCCGCTGCGCCGCCCTCGCCCGCACCGGCCCAGCCTTGGGCGGCAGCGGCCCGATATTCTCCCAGTAGTCGCGGCAGCAATCGCAGTCCAGCCCGTGCATCTGCTTGCGCGTCGACCGCTTCCTCTCGCTCCCCACAAACGCGTGCCCCACGCCCGCGTTGCGCTCCGCGTCGATCCGGTACTCCTGATTGATCGTCTTGGTCGCCGTCGTCGTCGATGCCCCCGCCGTCGAGCCCTGGCCGTCGACCTGAGGCACCTCTCGCGCGTATCGTCCCTTGCCCTTGTTGCGCAGAGGGTCGGCCGTCAGCGCCTCCAGCTCAGCGGCCCGAGAGGCGCGCACCCGAGCGCGAAACTGCGACGGAGTCTCTGGAGCTGCTACCCCGGAGGCCGAGGGTGCCCTTGCCGATGTGGATGCGGGCGCCTTGGGCGGGGAAGAGGGCGGCGAGTCGGCGAGAGCCCGGATGACGCCGAGTCGCGGTTCACTGCGCGTCACGTTGCCGCCGTCCTCGGCCCGGAGGCGGTCCGCCCTCGTCGCTGCGCACGAGGCCTTGCTCGGCGTCGTGACGGCGGCGGCGACGGCGGCATCCGTCGCAGCAGAAACTTGCGCACCGCGCCGTGTTGACGACGCTGCCAGCTCGGCGACGCGGCTTCGGGGTCGATCGCTCTGCGGCTGCCTGTCCAGCAGAGGCAACCTGCGAGCGGGTGCCGGCGTCGCCGTCGTGCTTTCCCTTGCCGCCTCGGCGCCAGGCGTCGGGTTGCCAGCCTCCTTGCGGCCGACTGGGCCTGCCTCGCCAGGCGGCGACTTGGACGGCGACGGACGACGCGCCATCAGCGGCAAGACGATCGACGAGGAAGGCTGCCGCTCCGGGCTGTCGGGGGCGCCACGTCGGCGCGATGCGTTCTCCTTGTCGGCACCGTGCGCCTCTGCGGCGGCGGTCGCGGTCGTGGTCGTGGTCGTGGCCGTGGTCGAGGACGAAGTCACGATGGCATCGATATCGACGCCGACGCGCCTGCACAGCTCCCTCTCGTGGTCCGACAGCCTCATGGCCGTCGCCGTCGCCGTCGCCGCGCCTCGCCTCGTCGCGTCGCCGCCGCTGCCGCCGCCGCCGCCGGATGCGGCATCCCGATCCGGATCGGTGCGAGTGTCCCTGCTGGCCTTGCGTTTTCGCTTGCGCTCGCGCTTCTCGACCGCGCCGAGCCACCACTCCTTGAAGGCGATCCAGCCGTGCCGCTCGGTGTCGTACCGCTGCTGCAGATCGTGCAGCGCAGTCTGGAGGCGTTCCGTCTCGCGCTCCAGCTCCGAGATGCGCTTTGCGTCGACACCGCCAGCACCGCCAGCGCCACCAGATGTGGTATCGTTGAGCTGTGGAACATGACCGAGGGATGACAGGGCCGGTCGAGCGGGTGCGGCGGTGTTGACCGGGTCGAGGTCGCACAGGACCGTCGAGAGGTGCTGGTGCGCCTGGCGGATCTGATCAATGAGCTGCGGAGACAGCGCCTTGGCGGCGACGTCGTGCGTGCCGCCGTGGGCGCTGTTGTCTTTCCTGGTCATCATGATCACGGCTGGCAGCAGGCAGATGGCATGGTGTGGGATGGCGGCCGTGGTTGTGGTGGTGGTGGTTGAAGTGGAAGCTAGCGCAGCCAGGCCAGGCCGGGCCAGCCTAGCCTGTGACTGCACCCTGCAGGCTGCACCCTGGCCTGGCCCAGGTCGCGTCCCCGCACAGCAAGCCCCACCGCCGCCCGCCGCCCGCCGCCCGCCGCCGATTTTTGGCCGACATTTTCCAGCCGATTAACCGTGCGCGCCGGCCACATCCCATCATGCCATCCACCGTCGAGGGACGGTTGCGTGTCGTTCCTCTGCGGACGCCACTGCGAGCACGGAGAGACATGGCAGACGGATATGGCAGGGTCACAGAACGAGACGTCACAGACAGGCGATGGGCGCTCCTGCGTGCGTGCGTGCATGTGATTTCCAGCAGACCGAGCGACAAGCAAGACTTCGCTACCCCTCGACCTCGACTTCGACCTCGTCCTCGACTTCGACCTCGTCCTCGACTTCGACCTCGTCCTCGACTTCGACCTCATCCTCGACTTCGACCTCGTCCTCGAGCTCGTTTCGACTCGGTGCGGCCCGCCGGCTACACGCTACTGGTGCCAGCCCATGCCCTCGACAATCTTGTGGGCCAGGGCGCGCTTCATAAACTGCTCCCTCGCCAGCATCCGCGTCTGCTTGAGGAAGCGGTCCAGCTCGATCCGCTCGGCGTTGAGCGCCCGCCCGAGCTGGTACAGCGTGTCCTCGATGGCATTGTCCTCGGCCACCAGGTCGACCAGCCTGGGCACGTAAGGCACGGCGAGCGAGGGAAAGAAGGAGGAGCCTCGTCCATCAGCGAACCGCACCGCATCGCACCGCATCGCACCCATGGGCGACGAGGAACGACAAAGCTTCGACTCACTGATTCCCGACGATGCTCGTGGCAAGCACCATGCCGTCGACGTCCGGATCCTCTTTGCTGCGCAGCCACTCGATCCGCTTCTGCGCCTCGACCACCGTCGCCTCGACGCGGTCGCCCGTCACGCGGCACACGTCGCGCACCGCCTCGAGCCGCCGCATCTCGTCCTCGATGGCAGGCCGCCCCCGGTCCAAGTCCGCCGAGAGCACCTCGAGGTGCTGGTTGGACTGCGACAGCGACGCCGACAGCGCCGAAAGCCGCGAATCGATCTTGGACAGCAGCCGGTCGTGCATCGCCAGAAGCTCCGGGTTCGGCGGCCGAGGAGGCGGAGGTGCTCCCGTCGCCGCGCTCGCACTGCCCGCAAGTGACCGCGACGTCGGACCGCCTCTAGAGTGATCCTCGATCGTCCCGCCGCCGCCGCCGCCGCCGTCGTCGTCGTCGTCGAGGGCATCCATGAGGTTAGCCTGACGGTGCTTGGGAGGCAGCGGCTGCTGCGAAGTCGGTGCCGCAGACGATGCGTGCGCTCCAGGCGGCTGCATCGGATGTTGGGGTGGATGTGGGGCGAGCGGTGGCTGTTGCGGCTGCCCGTGCTGCTGGTACCGCTGCTGGTACTGTGGGGACGAAGTGTAGGCGGGCTGCTGTTGCTGCGGCAGGTGAGGGGGCTGCTGATGCTGCTGTTGCTGCTGCTGGTAGGATGGGGCTGCCGCCGAAGACGGTGCAGGGTGACTCCGCATCGATGCGGGCGACTGCGGTGCTAGATCCTGCGTCCCGGCAGCAGGTGGAGCAAAGTGAGGCTGCTGCTGCGGCTGTTGGTGACGGTGAGGCGGAAAGGGGGCCGGCTGAGAGTATGGCTGAGGTGCCGGAGCCCTGTCGTCCCAAGACTGTCGGTGCTGGCCTGGTCTGCCCTCGTGGCCCGGCGACAGGTGCATCGACGTCGAAGATATGTGCGGCGAGCTGGAGCGGCCGGGACCGTGCTGATGCCTCGATGGCCCCTGGAGGGGGGACGCCGGCGCCGCTCCCACCGAGCTGAAGTCGCCCGAGGCAGAACGATGTGGGGCGAGGTGGGGTGGCGGTGCGGGCTGCCCGTAGGCGTACGAGTTGCGGTTGCCGTTGAGGTGCAGGCCGTACCTGGGGTCCTGGCTGACGAGCGCCTCGGGCGACTGCGCTGGCTTCGGCGGACGATGCGGTGCGGGTGATGCGGAGGGCGAGCGGCTGGATGCGGAGGGGTCATGGTGCGGTTGCGGCGCGGGCGGAGGCGGTCGCTGGCGAGCATCTCCGTTGATGGGCTGGTTGCCCTGTGTGGCAAAGGACTGCGGCTGCGGGGGTAAGGGCGGCTGCTGCTGCTGCTGACGTAGATCGTACTGCGCTGCCGAGGCGTGGTGGGAGGGGCCGGGGGAGGGTTGGTGCGTCGGGGTGGCCGGGCCAGGGTTTGCTGCCTCTCTGGGCTTGGCGTAGACTGGCGGCTGCTGGCCAAAGATGTGCTGGCAGTCGCGGATGAGATCGAGGAGGTTGCACGCCTCTGGTTTTGCGTTCCAGCGAGCGAGGTAGGGCCCGCCGATTTCGCCGCTGGGGTCGAGGTTTGGGCCCTTGCGCACGAGCATGTCTGGGGTGGGGACGACGTAGGCGATGGGGTGGGTGTCCGGGTAGTCTTTTGGAATCCAGAACTGGACGGGGATGTTGTAGGTTGCGCCGCGGTAGTGCACGGGGATGGTGCCGGTCAAGGTGACGAGGAGGTGTGTGCGACCGTCGTTGTAGGTGAATGGCTCTGTGCTCGGCGAGAGGGACGAGAGGGCGACGAGGGCGGCGTCGAGGTCGAGGTAGGTGCGCTGCGGGTGCGAGTATGGCGCGAGGACCTGCCGGAGCCAGCGCTGTACTACGGCGTGGTCCATGGCGGGCGGCGGTGTTGATGGGTATATGGTGGTGGTGGTGGTCGTCGTTGGCTGGCCCGACGAGGGTCGAGTTGATTCCGAGGGCTGAGGCCGCGTGGGGTTCGTGGCTGCGTCCGGGTTGCGAGGTGGGTGGCCCGTCCGTGGGCTGCCCAGGCCAAGGCAGGCCTGCCAGTGTTTGCAGTGAATCGGGATGTCGCCCCGATGCAAAAAAGTAGAAGGCTCGCTGATCGGCCCGCGTGGCCCTGGCGGGTGAGAAGGAAAGGCGGGCGTTTGGCATGCTCGCCTCAGCCCGCCTTGGAAATCTCCACCTTGGTTGGTTGCCCCTCGTTTGGGTGACCAACAAACCGGAGGCAGCCTTAGCTTGGCCCCTCGCTCGACCACCGACCGGCTTCCTCACCGCCACCACCACCACCATCGTCGTCATCGTCGTCCACCCCAATTCGACCCTCTCCGCCTCACCTCGCCGCCACCCTCCCTCGAAATGAGGCCCACGACCGCCGCCGCATCGGCATCGGCATCGTGCCTTCGTGCCCGCTCCACCGCCAACAGGTCCATCGCCGCCCCCTTCATGACCGCGGCTGCAGCTCACCATTCCTACCGCCGCCCCACTGCCGCAACACCGTCGACGACATGCGCCGCACCCTCCGCTTCCGCACTCCTGCACCAGCAGACCCGCTCCCTCTTTGGTCTCTCGCTCTTTGGCGCCAAGAAGCCAAAGGACGACGCAGCGGACCCCTTTGCCGCCGGCAGGCGCAAGCAACCCATCCTCTCCCAGGACAACCTCTTCCACCCCTTTTCCCAATCCCCAATCCCCGCCATCCGCGCACGCGGCGAGCGCATCCGCTCCCTCGCACCCTGCCCCGTCAGCATGGCAAAGTACAAGCAGCGCAGGCTCGTCAACTTCGAGTGCCCCGACTGCGGTTGGCCCACCCACTTTAGCGAAAAAGAGTGGCAGGAGGACACCGAACACCCAAAGTACGTCGCACGCCTCCGCGAGGCAAACGAGGACGAGCACGACCTCCGCAGCGGCCGCGACATGAACGAGTTCAAGCTGCCCGGCCCCCAGGGCTTTGAAGAGACCATCAACATGTCGAGCTGGGACGTGTTTTTCTACACGCGCAACTTTAACTCGATCGAGTCGGACCGCAGCCGCAGGCACGTCAGCAAGCTCCTCACCTTCCCCACCACCGTCGGCGCCGTCATCCACGAAAACAGCCCCTACACCAAGCGCAGCCGCAGGCTCACCCACGAGGGCCTCCGCAGCATGATTGCCCTCCGCCAGACGCTCCACCCAAAGGCCGGCGACAAGCCCTCGCTCGACGTCATGCGCATCTTTGTCGTCGGCGCGCGCGCAGAGGCATCCCTCCCGCCCGCCGTCTGGGACCAGCTGACCTACATGTTCCCCAACGTGCCCTTCCACGTCTACCTCATCGGGCCCGAGGCGCCCCTGCCCGGCGATGGCGCTAGCAGCAACAAGGCGGCCCCAACGACGACGCAGCAGCAGGATGCGCAGGCGAACGGCGGCAGCAGCGACAACAACAGCAACAACAACGGCGGCGGCTCCGGCAGCATCTCGATGCACAAGGGGCGCACGCGCAAGAGCAACTTTGGCGTGCCCTCGAGGACCGTCGTCGTGTCCGAGGGCCTCACCATCACCACGATCCAGTCCAAGTACGAGGAGGTGCACGCCCAGTTTGAGCCCTTTGACCCGTACACCGACGTCTTTTTCGCCTTTAGCCCGGGCTTTGGCTTCCCGAGCCAGGTGGCCGTCGAGGAGGCGGACCGCGCGCGCCAAGAGGGGCGCGACGACGTGCGGAGGATGCAGGCGGCGCGCAGCACCTACCACGCCGCGGGCGCCGAGAGCGCCGAGT